GGGAAGAAAGGATCTGGTTATAAGCCAATGGGAGCAAAGCATGACCTGGGACGTCCAAGGTGGGGGAGGCTGAAGGTGCATGGAGAGGAGGCAGTGGGAGGAGAGGGAAACAAATGTGTATGTAGTGAGTGGTTCTTACAGGTGTGTGTCACTTTTAATGCCTTATTTTTTAATATTTGTGAGCACGGTACATCTAATAAAGAGGAATTTTTATCAGACCTTTATTGCAGATGAGGCTTCCAATAGTTTAGTAACCTGCCTGAGGGCACACAGCTAGTCGGCAGGCAGACCAGGATTCAGGCCCAGGACCTTAGCACTGAAGCCAGTGGTCTTCCTGGTAAGTTACTAACGTCACGGCGAGGTTCGCCTGCTGCCTAACCAAAGTGAGGTGTGTCGTGCCTCCCCAGCACACCCAGCAGGACGTGCCTGTGCCTAGGAGGGGAGACCTCTCCCGTGTCCCCACCTGGGTATTCCCGTGGCTTTGCTGTACAAGTGTCTGAGTGTGCTGGTGCGTGGAGACGGCCATTGGAGATGCTCTGCAGACCACCTGAGCCACTCTGAAACGTCAATGGCCTGGGAGAAAGCAGAAGCCAGAGAACACCGACATGGGAAAAGCTGAGAGCCACTCTTCAAGGAGGCCGAGCACGGAACGTGATGCTGCCTGACAAGAGGGGCGCGTGTGGGGTGTCACTTACCAGCTGGGTGACCTCGGAAGAGTGATTCTCTTCTCCACAGGGTCCTAGTCTACTCCCTTGGGAAATGGGGTTGCTTCTCTAATGCCGTGAGGCTGTCGAGGATTCAAGAAGCTGACATAAAGCGTGCACTGACGTTGTGACGTAGCTTGCTCAGTACTGGGAGTTGGTAAGAATGTTACTATTAATAGTGTACGAAGCTCTGATTACAGATAGAAGATGACTCGAGGCCTGGAGGAAAATGCCAGGAGAGCCCGGCACCCTAGAGATCCACTTCCCCTCATCATGAGGGACAACTCCAGGCCACCTCCCTCAGGAGAAAGAAGATGCTGTGCTTTCCTCTTGGCAAAGCCTGACTCGCTAGCGACTGACCTGAGCTGTCAGAACTGCCTAACTTTCCCCTCTGTGAACGGAACTGGCCAGAAGAGGGTGAGTGCTGACCACTCCCTGGCAGGAGCTCAAAGTGACAGTGAGGCCACCACCATGTCCACTTTCCAGATCAGCTGGCCCCGCGTTTGCTGCGAGAGGTGCAGAGAACCCTGTGATAAAACCCACCCCACAGAACATCCATTCAGCAGAGTGAGTTCCCTGTACAAACAAAGTCAGAGGAATTGCCTCCTTTTTATTTTCCGAAAGGCACAAGATAATAGAGAAGAGAGTGGAGTAGGGTGTCAAGTGGACAGAACAAGATCATAATATCCCACAACTGAACTGAGCACGTACTATGTGCTAGACCCCGTGTGAGGGAGCTTTGCAAGCATTATGCAACCCTCACAATTATCCTGCGAGGGTAGGACTTCTCATCGTTCCCGTTTCACAGAGGAGGAAGCATTTGTAACTTATGGCAACAGTAAGGAGCACAGGCAGGGCACAGACCAGGGCCTCCTCTGGCTCAGCGCCCACTGGCAAGGAAAACCAAAGGTCAGCATACCGAACTGGCCTCCAGGTTCTACCTCCTTCGCCCCTGCCTATGACCTCAGGTTCTGTGGGGGAAATGCAGTCAGGCAACAGCTCCCTTCCCGAGTTGGGCTTCAGAGCAGTGCTGAGAGCTGGGTTTTAGGCACACGGATTTAGGGATGCTAGGATGAGGCTTAGACACCGAAGCCAGCGTGGGCCAGGAAGTGGTGAGAGGCAGAGAGCAGTCTGGTCACCACCGAGTTGGGGCTCGCTCACTAGTAACCCAGTGTGAAAAGAGGCCGGGGGGAAGGCGGGAGAGACTGGACGGCCACGGAGGACCTTCCAGCGCAGAGCTGCCGCTGTGTGCTAGAGAGGGCCCGCAACACCAAACAGTTCCCCAAACAGATGTCGAAGGTGCTGCGTTCTCAAGAATCTTCGCAAATAACACACTGGATTTTTCCAAGATAGAAACAACCACAAGAATGCACTTCACTTTGCCAGAAAAAAAAATTAGCTACAAGGATAATTCATGCATGTAATGTTCTCATCTTCTATGCCCTGTGTAACTATGAATTAATCCTCAGAAGGACACAGTGAGAGACTACAATGGCAATACCAACGTGACAAGCCTCTTTTTTTTTCTGCGAAAATGAGTGGCTACCTCATTATAGAAAGGATCTCACTAAAATTCTCTTGCATCTGCATCAGACTCATTGGCAATTGCAATTGAAAGGATGTTTCAAGGTCAACTAACGTGACTCTTCACAGGGTACCTAAGTCCCCTTCACATGTCTCTGAGGGGTACCTCGGGGAATGCCTAAGTACCTTCAGGACAGGCGGGCTGGTATCACTCCAAGCTGCCTATTGCATTCATCAGGCAGCTTGGAACTTCCCCAAGGTCCTTCTTATGCTGTCTGCAGCTCTGATTCCGTCTCTGCACTTTGCGGTCCTACAGACCAGGCCTAGAGCTCCTCCGCCACACCCTTCAGAGCTGCGGCCCCGAGTCTTCTCTTCTCCGGAGCTGTCAACCATCTGACCACGGAGGTGGTGTTTCTGCTGTCACCCTTGTTTTTTTTAAGACAGATTAGATCCACAATTATTTGAAGATGGTTACTCCTCCAAATAACCCAAACTGCACATTTTCAATCGACATTATGAGCAACACCGAAAGCTAATTATAATCAACTTGCTTTCATAAAAAGAAGGAATAAATAAAAAAATGGACTTTAGGAGGATCTACTTGGCTAAAAGTACCAGCAGCAAGCATTCTATGTTCCCAGATAAATAAGGAAGAAGTGTAACTACTCCCTCTTCTCCACCCCTGCCAATTCCCCACTGGAATTGAAATGTCCAGCATTCAAATCACAGAACAATAAAAATATCATCTAGTTACAATGTCATATGTTATGACGTGGAAACTGGGGCCCGGAGATCCCATCGCTGTCTCCTTGCCACCCCCAAAAGTTTAGTATTTCTTCATACTGGGTTAGGCACCAGGGACACCAACTCCCCAAGCCCCTACCCTCCCAGGTCTCTGAGCAGAGACTCACCAGGCATTCACTTCAAGAGATTCAGCATACTTGGAAACCCATTGTTGGGATAACCCAATGACAGGCATTTAGAATCTTTCACAAAGGATTGGAAGGCTGTTTCCTTTCTCCGTGCCTTTGCTTCAAACTGCCCCTCCCGCTGGAATACCCGCTTCCCCTCCTTTTTCGGCAAACTCATCTTCTAAGGCTCAGCTCAGCTCTCACCCCCTGAGTTCTCCTCAACTGCCCCTTTAGCTGCCCCCCTCCTTAGTGCTCCCCCAAGCCCCCGTACCAGTCACACTCACCATACTTAGTTAGTACCGTGCACGCACTACACTGTGCTTCCTGTGGCTGTCTCCTCTAGGGGACTCTAGATTCCTGGAGACAGGGGGCTGAGTGTTACTCAGTTTTATGTGTCGATCTAGTTCAGCTGGTATGTCCTGGCTTTGATGAATGAATGAATAAACATCTCAGCAGAATCTTAAGGGTTAAGAAGTGTCTGTTGCACACAGAAGGAAAGAAAAGAATCCCAGGCCCAGGGAGCCCGTGTGGAGGCACAGTGCTCCGAGAGGATGAGGCGTGGCTGCAGAGGTGTGCGGGGTCCTCAGGGTGGGGATGTTCGGGGTGCCAGAGGTGGGCGTGGGAAGCGTGACTGAGTGAGGGTGGGGGCTAAGTCTGGGCCGGGTGTGGAAAACCACATAAGCCAGGCTGAAGGGTGCAGACATTACCCTGCAACAGAGTGGGAGCACAAATCTTGTCACAGGGGGAGTGGCAGGGTCTACTTGGTTTCCAAGGTCACTTGCACGGCCAGAAGAGAGAGCACCACACTGAGGACAGACGCAAGGCGGGAGCCTGCTGCTCCGTCCAGGACACGGGAAGGGTCTGGGTCAGGGGTGCTGTGTCCCGAGGGTCCTGGGAGAGCCCCGAGGAGGAGGCACAGTGTGGACTCAGGTCTGAGGGCCGAGGTAGGACCCGTGGGACCCGAGGAGTAAATGGCCCAGGAGAGGAGGAGGATCACAGCGGTGCCAGGTTTCCAACATGGACCCTCGGGGCAGTACGAACAGTGTTAATAGGGACAGAGGCCTCGGGGGAAAGATTATAAGGTCTTTTTTGGCAAGATTTCTATGACAATCCTTCCAGATGATTTCTGTAGACCCAGAGCTACCTCGTTACTGATTTAACTAAAAGACTTCAATACAGTGCAAGAAAATCAACTGTGAAAACCTAGAGTACAAGATGAGTATTTTAATCCTCACAGCCAGACGGAGCAACTCGGATGATTTAAGGGTGCAAGAAACAACTTCAGATACGAAATCTTTTGGTTCTCAAAACTAGTACTGTTCCTCAACCAGTGAAATTGGTATTCATATATAAAATATTCTCTAGGCCATCATAGTCCGTATGTTTCTTATTTTCTGCATCCAACTGTATCATTTTCATATCTTTAAAAAAATTACTATTTGCCCACTGGCTAATGTCCTCACACCACTCAGCGCGTCCCACTCACCAGGGAGAATTCAGTTTATATTGAGTGGCCCCACTCAGCCATTTTACTGACCAGTGATTTCATGGTTTAGTCATCTTCCCAAAATATTAAAGGCCTGCATATTGTTGGGGAAAAGCCCAGGGACACACTCATGAATGAATCTCTTCAGCTCTGAAATGGATCCATCTTTTAACCTAGTAACATTCCTGTCTGCCTCATTCCACAGCAAAAGCTCTGAAGAGCAACCAATGCACAGAACCCCCCCACTCCTCGCCCCCCACAGAACCAACGGCTCCACTTAAATAAACCACGAAAGGTCGTTCCCTGGCCCGCGCGGTGACCCCAAGCGCACGGGGACTGCTCCTGGTAGAGAGGAGACGGACACTGGCAGCTCACCCGCTTCCTCAGGTTGTAGGTGAGAATGAGGTTCCGGGAGAAGGAGTGGGAGAAGGCCGTGTAGAACTCCAGCACCTTCTGCAGGGCGTCCCGCTTGATCACGTGCAGGTCGCAGTAGGTCAAGGCCCTGACGTTGGCGCAGGACTGGGCGAGGGTGGCCTCCTTCCAGAACACATCTCCAAACACGTCTCCCTTCCCTGGGGAGAGAGAGCGGGGAGTGAGGGACGTGCCATCCAGGAGGGCTCTGGCCACTGGGTCGCTTCCCCTGCTCCCCAGGAAGGCGGCTCATCCCGCAGCTTGGGCTCAGCATAGGCAACAATAGTTTTAATTTGAACAGTAGCAACATGTAATTTGAGACACTTAAAAAGGCTGCGAAATACATGTCAAAGTTTAACCAGCGACTCTGGGATCATTCACATTACCTCCTGAACATCCTAACCAAAACAGGGCCCCTGTTCTTCTTTAGCACACCCCCAGCTTCCCAAACACCGGTCCCAATCTCAGATTAGTTATTTGTTTGCTTGTTTACGGTGTGTTTGCCAGCACGAGTTCATGCATTTTGTCCCTCCACGTAACACCGTGTCTGGCACGCAGGAGGAGATCTGTCCACGTTCAGAGTCAACAGAAGTGAGGAAGGAAGGTGAGTGGTAGATCCGCAGTCGGCTGTCAGGGGGAGGGCGTGGACTGTTCCTGGGACCCAAGAACAGGAGTCTCCTCTGTGTGGGTGGGACGAGGTACGTGGACGAAGTCAGGCCAGAGCGGAGTCCGTCTCCTTGTATGTTCTGTCCACTGTCCTGAGTTCATGTTTGTAGGGTGGCCCCACTCCTCACCCTCTCGCCCACACCCCTTCCGTGCTCTTTGCCGTTGCCAAATTTCCTCCTCTCTGTATAAAAATATTGGCCCTATAGAAATAGTACCTCCAGGGCCCTAAGGGATTCGCATTCCACAGAGTGTACGTCACAAATCAATTGAGTACTAATCCTACACAGCCGTATTCTGGGCTAAACTTCTATCAGCCTCTACGTATCTGCTTTTCACACCTAGAGGTGTTCTTCCCACCTTTCCCAGCAACCAACATTTAGCATATGTCTAATAAGAAGCACAGCCTCTGGCTATAAGTAGCTTAAGATGTTGTTTATCTTGCCTCTAAATTTTCAGCACAGATAAACACAAATCTGAGTCCTCAGGGAGCCAGAGAGGAGTGCAGAGGGTGACAGAAACACAGCAACAAGGGTGAAAAGTAACCCTGACGACCCTCAAGGCAGTCGCCTGCCCTATGTGCAGAGCAGCCACCCTCCGCAGTGGGAACCCAGGTGCCCGTGACGCGGTGTGATGAAGAGGAAGCTGTTTTCCTGATTCAGGCTATGAAGGCAATCAGACTTTCAAGCACTTGGACAGAACTTGACCTTTTCTTAAACTCGCAAAGTGTGGTTCTAAGTATACAAGTACCCCTTGGGCACGGAGCGCCCGTACCGTGTGAGCTGAGAAACAATGGACGCCACACGTGACTGCACCGTTCTTTACGTGTTTGTGAGTACCGTGCAGCTCCAATGGACGGAGATGGTTTTACTGACTCCAAACGAGTAGGATACATGCATGGGGGAGCTTTTGGGTAAACATGCCTTTAAAGCTTTGCTATTTAAATCCCCTTGCCGTGTTGTGACTCAGTCATCTGTCAGAGGAGTGGGTTAATTTAGGGCCTCGGCCAGTGGATGCGGATGTTTCTCTCCGTGGGTGCTACCCGGCTTCCATGGACAAAGGCTCATTCAGTGTGTGCTCCCCGCTCCCTGGTACTGAGTCTGCCCAGCAAGGCCGCCCTGTTTGTCCGTACGTGTTAGTCATTCCATACGCTCCCTGCACTGCATCACGGTGCCTCTCCCGCCTCTCATATTTGCTTAATCTCATTCCTCTAGAGCACTCTGTGCTTCTGATGCACACTGTGGAAGTTAAAAAATGGACCCCATCTGTATCCTGCACCTCACATCAGGAGGCAAAGTCTAATTCTCTTCACCTTAAATCTGGACTGACCTTAGTCCCTTGCTTGACCCACAGAGAGTGGCAGAAGTGATGTCTGGGACTTAGAGGCAAGGTCACAGGAAGCCTTGCAGCTTCTGCTGGGTCTCTTGGAACCCAGCCACCATGTTTCGAGAAGAATGAGCCACACAAGAGGTCATACATGGGTGCTCTGTGGAGCCCAGCAGGGCTCTCAGCGGACAGCCAGCCTCTGCCACTTGTGTAAATGAGCTGTCTTGGCCTCCCAGCCCAATCGGGCAGTCAGCCACAGCCCAGCCAACACTGGCCTGCAACCGCACGGGAGAGGGCCAGGTGAGAACCAAGCAGCTGACCGAAAAGCCACAGAACGATGAGAAACAATAATGAATTTATTGAGCCACTAAATGCAGCCAGTGGTGGTTTATAACACAGAAACAGATAGCCAGAAGACACAGAGTCATGGCAATCTAGGCCCATGAGACTTAACAGGTTCCCCAAGACTGCAGCCGAACATCAGCTGGGTCTGGGCATGCACCCCCTTTCTTCCCTGAAAGAAGGAGACGAGAGAGAGCAAGGACAGGGACAGGTTGTCCTGAAGGAGCATCCTGAATATCAATGAGAAATGCAGAATTTGCAAAGTTTGCCACCTCCTATTGGGATGTAGTGGGGTATAACTGAGCCAGGACTACTGTGAGCAGAAGAGCATTGGGGATGCCCGATTCTTAATACAATGACTTCATTTAAACAAGATCTGACACAAGAGCATTATACTTCTCAAACAAATTTGGGAGTCATTTTTCTAATTATGAAAGAACCCACAAAGTAAAACACTAGCTCCTTGCATATATTCAACATGTGAATTATCAGTAAAAATTCCATTTATAAACAACTTCATACCTATTGCTTAAAACAAAGGGCAACTGTGTTGTGGTTGAGATGCACCATGAAATAAATAAGTGCATCTTTAGAAATGACAATCCACCCAGTTGTAAAGTTTTCCAAGCAAAGGTTTTGACAGAAACAATAAGTAGAGGGCGGTTCCACCACAAAAAGTGCTTCACAGCAAGATCATCATAATGAACGTGGACGGTCTCAGTCTCGGTGTTGTCATAACTGGGATTTGATTCTTCCTGTGAGGGACGCATTTCTATATAAGTCATGTTAGTAAGATTTAAGAATGTGGTGTTGGAGGACCTGTCAGATTCAAAACAAACCCGAGACTGTCCTGGCCGATGGGAAATGTGTTTGTGAGACACACGACTTGGAGAAAGTATCAGAGGGAAGGGTACCGAGTGTTTGGCAGGCTACTTGTAGGTTCCACGCATCGCTGGGAACAACGACTTCCCAGGACAGCTTGCGGATCAGAAGCAAGGACAAGCCCTACACCCACACTCGCTCCTTGTTCCCTGGTGTGAAATCATCATTCACCGGAGAACAAAAGGTACGCCAGTGCACTGGGAAATCAAACTACTGGAAGCAATTGGCTTATTGATTTACTTATTACACTGAGGCGCTGGGTGCAGAATGTTAAAGCAACGTTCCAATTTCTAAAATGCGTTCTAAGTGGACTTGCTGAGCTGGAGGGGAAATTTTTAAAAAGGAAAGTGAGGAAAGGCAGCCTAATTAAAACTCCAAGCAAGCATCGTTGTGACAGTCACTCCTCCTCCACCCCCAATTACACGCGGCTGTCCCCGCTGCACCTCCACTGTGGAAGGGTCACAGACAACTACGGGCTGCAAACGGGGGACTGAAGGAGACACACGGATGGGAGCCGGGACACACGGCGAGGAAGGCACTGGGAGAGGGCAGGAGATCTCCGCAGGGAGCTCACAGCACAGGAGAATACCAAGACCCTGCAGATCAGTTCATTCTGTGGAGGGCAGAGGCTGGAACAGCCACTTGAGGCGGCTGGGGGTGGGGGACTGGGACTTGGGTGGGTTCAGAAGGGTGGATGATCAGGGCAAATTCCAGGGCTGCTGGAACTGGGGCCCTGGGAGGGCAGCACAGCCTATCCACATGTTAAAGAGTCGCGGGGGAGGAAGCAATTCTACTCTAAAGTGACAATTCTCCAGAAGAAGGCCCTATTCACTCAAAGACCAGTTCCGAGTGAGCTCGGCAGGCCAGAGAGGAAAGGGCAAAAGTGAAATATACAGCTGCTCCTCTTCGCTGTTCCCTAGCAGTGAAGGGGTCCTCCCCTTGTGAGGACCCCTCACAGTGGGGTAGCCTGCACGAGGCAACACACAATGCTGCAGTTAAAGTCATCCTCTGCTGCTAAAATCAAGTTCTCTCCAGACCCAAACCAGTTAGAACGGACTCATTCAGTCCTTCACTCACACACCTGCTGGCAGGCACTGTTCCAGGGGCCAAGGGATGGCAGTGGAATGACAGACACAGTGCAGTGACACTCGGGACTGTAACATGACAGGGGCTGTGATGGGGGAGACGGCAGGAGGGATATCAGTTCAAGTTCAAGGGCTCAGGGAAGACTGAAGGATGTGTGAGCCGGCTCCAGTTAACCAGCATGAAGATGAAACAGAGATGATCCCAGGAAGAGGAAATGGCACAGGATTTGGCTTTTTGGCAGGACCGAAAGCTCCTGCCTCTGGAAAACCCCACGTTTTGGATTGTATGCTCCTTCTCTCACCTGCAGAGATGAGTGTTGCCAGTACATTTCGCTACCCTGTGACGGAAGTGCCTGGTCTCCTCACTCAGCTGCAAACCCACCTGCGCACCTGCCATACTCTGCACCCTGAGGGTGCCGCGCCAGTTCAGCTTGTTCAGTGGCTGGATCCACTGTGCTGCTGGCAGCCCCACTGGGGGTGCTGAGAGGTGCCAGGAACATGGGGTGCAGTGAGGGCCAACCCCTCCCAGTTTCCCCTCCTCTTACTGCGTTTACTCCTACTCTCTGGGGCATCGAAAAGTCCTCTGCCCTCAGCCCATTTCAGGACTGGAGGGGCCTGTCACTCACTTCACTGGGTTGGTGAAATGTGACTGCAGAGCCCCTGGCATGGCTGAGAGGGCCTCCGAGGGAGAGCCATTGTCTCTCCTGTTCCTGGGAATGATTCTGTGTGAGACCCAGAGCAGAGGGGGCTGGATCGCTCTCCCCAGCCAGTCCTGGGCAGACTGTGCACACGCCACTGATGGATGGTCCAGGAGGACAGCGATGAGGACTCGCACAGGTCTCAGACCTCCTGGACTCCTCGCA